TTCCTTCCTTCCTTCCTTCCTTCCTTCCTTCCTTCCTTCCTTCCTTCCTTCTTCTTTCACCCATTCAACAAATTTGATCAATAGCTCCTCTGTCGGTCTGGCTGCTGGAAGCAATGACCATATGGGGCTCTGCCCTCAGGAAATACACAGTTTTGGGCGGTGGCGGGGCGGGGGGGGGGGGTGCGGCGGAGACAGAGCCAGGTGATGGCATTTCAATGAGATATCTACTGGGATGGAGGGAACACTGAGGCTATGGGGGCATAGAACAGACACTGAGCCCAGCTGCATGGGGAAAGGTTCAGGAGACGATATTTAAACTGAGACCTGAAGGCTGATTCAAATGGAGTGATGCACAGGTGGTGGGGGGACAAGAAGGGAAGAAGATTCAGGATGGGAACACGGCGTGCACAGGGCCAGAGGTGAGAGGCATTTGGCATCTATCTGCCCGCTTCCTTCCCGGCTTCCTTAATTGGCCTGCCCCGCCCTCACCCCTGCCCAGCTCCTGGGAGTGGACAGGGGCCACAGCAACGACCTCCACGGACACAGCCAGCCTGGCAAACACATTTGGAATTAGGGAATACATTTTTAAACTATAAAGAGTGTCGGGTTTTTTCTGATCTTTACAGAAGTGAGACATCCCTTTTGTAGAAGAGATGAGAAATAAAGAACATATTAAAATATTTTAAAAGACTAAGGAGGGGAAAGTCATCCGGAATTAGAGAGACTTCAGTCTGCACTGAAGCTCAGCTCACCCCTAGCTGTGCAACCCTGAGAAACGGACTCTTTCCCCGTGAACTTCAGGCTCTAAGGAATGGAATTGCCAATACCCATGGCACTGACAAGGACATAGGTGCAGGCGTGTCCAGGGTCTCAAAAGCTGGTCAAATCTGTCTGGGGTCTGAGTCAGAGACCTGAAAGAGACGAGGCAGCCCAGGGGGGCCTGGCTCCAGAGTTCTGTCCATTATATGCATGCTCCTCTGACACAGAAGCCAGTGGAGAGAGACAGGGCCTGACAGAGGCTGTGGCCCAACTCACGATCCCCCTCCACCAGCTGAGAGTGGGATGGGGCAGGAGGTCAAGGCCTGAGGAGTCTGCTTCCATCCAGCCTAGAAGATTCGAGGCCTCACCAAGAGATCCGACCCCTCTTTTTCAGTCTCTTCCTGGCAACCTGGCCTGGCACCCTCCAGGATGTGATATCAGTTTAATAATTTAGCAGATGCAGACAAAGATAGCAGCTCTGAAAATAACCTAGCTAGGCCCCGGCCTCCTTCTCCTCTTCCCTCAGCAGACTCCCCTGCCCTCCCTGCAAGGTTTCTGATGGCTCCACACCTGTCAGTGCCCCTGCCTGCCAGTGAGCTCATAAGCTGACGCCTCCTCCTCCCTCTCCGCCCTCCTCCTCACCTCCCCTTTCTCTCCATTCTCAGGTTAAGAGCTTTCAAATGAATTAAAGCTTAAAGGTATCTTACACTAGAAGCAACACGAATTGGGTTTAAGGCCATTATGTGGCCTTGAGCAAGTCTCCTCTTTCTTTCTTTCTTTTTAAAGATTTTATTTTTTTTTAATGTTTGTTTCTGAGAGAGAGAGAGAGAGAGAGAGAGAGAGCAAGGGAGGGGCAGAGAGAGAAGGAGACAGAAGATCCAAAGCAGGCTCTGTGCTGAGAGCGCAGATCCCCATGTGGGGCTCAAACCCACGAACCCATGAGGGCACCTGGGTGGCTCAGTCAGTTAAGTGTCTGATTTCGGCTCAGGTCATGATCTCATGGTTTGTGGGTTCGAGCCCTGCGTCAGGCTCTGTGCTGACAGCTCAGAACCTGGAGCCTGCTTTGGATTCTGTGTCTCCCTCTCTCTCTGTCCCCCCCACTGCTGCTTGTGCTCTATCTCTCCCTCTCAAAAATGAATAAACGTTTAAAAAAAACAAAACAAAACAAAAAACCATGAACCATGAGATCATGACCTGAGCCGAAGTCAGATGCTTATCCAACTGAGACTCCCAGGCGCCCCAAGCCTCGTCTTTCTAAGCCTCTGTTCCCACAATTATAAAAGGAGGTCTCTGGATTCCTAGATGCAGAATGGACAACATGTTTGGAGGGTGGCAATTATTTGGACAGGGGACTGGACGTCTTTCTCAGGAAGACACAACTCCGGTGTTGGTGCCATTTCAGTCAACAGCACTACAACCCCCCTCCCCCGCCCCTGTTGCTCCATCTGGAGAACTCACAGGTTTTCTTTGTGTTTCATTTCTCCTGTGATGAAAATTTTGCCCTGGTATTATATTCCTAGAACAAAAGGCTATGACTCCTGTCCACAGTGGATGCAGCAGGTTCCACATGTGTTTGGTG